CTATTGTGTTGTTATCGGTTCGTCTCTGTTTGCTTTGTTCATTCGTTTTGTTTTTAATTTTTAACAAATCTTTCTTGCTGTGATTATGGAATTCTAGTCCTATCTTATTGCATTTTCTGATTTTATCAATTGATGCTGCAACAATGTCCCCGTAGCTTATCAGTTTTCAAAATTATTCTCTGATACCACTGTCGGCGCCACGACGGTCGCATGGTATGTTTCCTTTCAATTTGTGTTCCTCGTTAACTGTAGATTGAATAATACCGCATCAAAGCTCTCGCCTTTCGATTGTTTTCCACAGGGACGCTACGCATATTGCCTGTGCAAGATTACATGCAATCATGTATCAGTGATAGCTGTATGTATAAACTTCGTTAGTTGAAATCTTTCGTTACAAATGATATGTTTCATTTATTTTTATTTTTCACTTCAAAATCTAATACAAAAGGTGTATGTGTATATGAGACAAGTATCAAGCAGTAGCTGGTGCTTTATAAAAACTTATTTTTATATATGTGAGATTATGTTATAACCATGCAGAGGGAATTTAGATATTTTCTTTATCGTAAAGAATTATTAAGAGGAATAATAATTAGGGGCAACAGCTTTTAATAAGAATGTTTAGTTCCCGGAAAAAAAAGTTAATAATGAAATTATCAAAGACTGTAAAACCAGTGATAGTAAAGATAACGTGATCATAATGGCCAGGATAACGATAATGACTTAATGATAACAGTAATATGATAATGAGAACTGTAGTGAAGAGGAGGAGGATTACGTAAAGCCATCATCATTGTTATGAGAATAGATATAATGATAACAGTGATGCTTATGTTAATGCTCACAGTTACGATAATGCTAACCCCATAAACCTTGATAATAATTACCTGTCGTGATTAGGTCTCAGTGGGGCAACTAAAAGTTTTCGATGTTTATTTCCTTTGCTAGAGACAACAACAAAAAAAAAATGTGACCTACCATGGCGCGGGTTTGGGAAAAAGAAGAAAAAAAGATTTAACATCGCGAAAATAAAATGTTCTATTGGTGGGAATTTATTGGTGAGGAAATTTTGTTGGTGTTTCTTCGCCATTTTTCTCGGTACCGGCAAACATCTGCAGAATTCTCCGAGACTGGGCCAATAAAACACGTAGATCTGTGTAACGCAATTTTTAGGAAACACTAGCACAATGGTGAAGGTCTTGGAAAGGTTTAGTCTGTTTAACTCGTTTCTCTATACATGTTAATATGTTGGTGTATGCGGCGGTGGGAACGTTCAGAGTCAGGAAAGTGCCCTTCAGTAAACACATCAGTACATTTTTAGTAATGTGAAACAGTCGATGTAATTCCCGTAGACTTAGGTATCAGTAAGTCTCACTAAGAGAGATATTAATCTTGGCTAATAACGTCAGAGAACAGTTATTACATCTGACTACTCATTATTTATTGCGTAAAAAGAAAAGGGTATTTTTGATTTATCATATATATCAATAGTTTCTATTTTTTTCTTTTCTGTGGAACAATTTGATTAGCCAAAGACCTTGACACTGAACGCTCTATCTAGCATTCAGGCACACGTGATTTTTTAAGCGCCACTTTGACTACGATAGCCGTGTCAAATGCAAACAGCTATAATTTTCCTACATGATGTTGAAATAAATGATTTTTTTCTAGCCAAAAGGACGATACTATTTTTCACATCGGAAAATCAAGAATAGGATATTGAAAATAGACATTAACAAAATGTTCCGGGACAGAGAACCACCAATTAGGACTCCGGAAGCCGCGCCATGAATACTTCTGTTGCAGGCTGCAATACTGTAATTCTGACATCATTTGTTGTCTGTTACTAGCGATCGGCAGGGTGGATGATTCATAGCATCACCATGGGTATATTTCGGCGTCCATGGAACGATATTTCCGACGGGGTATCTGGGCTGACCTCTTTAGATGCGCTGATGAAGATGGTGAGGTTAGTGACTTCTATTCTGAATGAGTCACGGCATAAGAAGTTTTAAAAAAGGTGTAAAGGATTAGGATGAGAGTGATGAAAGTCCTGGAGGAGATGTGGCTTTCTGGGGGACGGAAGGAAGACCAGGACGCAAGGGAAAGTAGGATATTTACAAACATTTCAACTGAGATATTCCCTGTGCGTCTCTTGTGTGGGGGAATGGTTTAGGTGTCAGTTGCCAGCCGAGCAAATCCCAATCGCTTTTTAATACAAATATCATAAGAATAGTGTCTTGCTAAGTGTTCTGCAGATATTCAACAATCATTTAAGATTTCATTTCACTTGTACTAAAATCGATTAAGCGCAGGTAATGGAAGGAAGAAGCGTTTTTACCGCCAGAGGCATGTGGCAACCCATGTTCGGCGTGCAGGTCCCGTGAGTCGGTCGCAGCCTCCAACGCCATTAGGCTACGGATAGCGGGAAGGAAAGGTCGCTCTTCATAATTCTGCTTTGCGAGTGAATTTAGTCGTTCTCTGTGTTAAAAGATCTGCA